GAAGGCCATCATTGACACCCTCAAGCAAGAGGTTAAGACACAGAAAGAAATTTCTGAACAAATAGGCTGTTCCCAGAGTGCTGTATCAAGGCACCTCAGTGGGAAGTCTTTGGGAAGGAACAAGTGTGGCAGAAAACGCTGCACAACGAGAAGAGGTGACCGGACCCTGAGGAAGATTGTGGAGAAGGACCGATTCCAGACCTTGGGGGACCTGCGGAAGCAGTGGACTGAGTCTGGAGTAGAAACATCCAGAGCCACCGTGTACAGGCGTGTGCAGGAAATGGGCTGCAGATGCCGCATTCCCCTGGTCAAGCCACTTTTGAACCAGAAACAGCGGCAGAAGCGCCTGACCTGACCTGGGCTACAGAGAAGCAGCGCTGGACTGTTGCTCAGTGGTCCAAAGTACTTTTTCGGATGAAATAAATTTAGCATGTCATTTGGAAATCAAGGTGCCGGAGTCTGGAGGAAGACTGGGCAGAGGGAAATACCAACATGCCTGAAGTCCAGTGTCAAGTACCCACAGTCAGTGATGGTCTGGGGTGCCATGTCAGCTGCTGGTGTTGGTCCACTGTGTTTTATCAAGGGCAGGGTCAATGCAGCTAGCTATCAGGAGATTTTGGAGCACTTCATGCTTCCATCTGCTGAAAAGCTTTATGGAGATGAAGATTTCATTTTTCAGCACGACCTGGCACCTGCTCACAGTGCCACAACCACTGGTAAATGGTTTACTGACCATGGTGTTACTGTGCTCAATTGGCTTGCCAACTCTCCTGACCTGAACCCCGTAGAGAATCTGTGGGATATTGTGAAGAGAAAGTTGAGAGACGCAAGACCCAACACTCTGGATGAGCTTAAGGCCGCTATCGAAGCATCCTGGGCCTCCATAACACCTCAGCAGTGCCACAGGCTGATTGCATCCATGCCACGCCGCATTGAAGCAGTCATTTCTGCTAAAGGATTCCCGACCAAGTACTGAGTGCATAACTGAACATAATTATTTGAAGGTTGACTTTTTTTGTATTAAAAACACTTTTCTTGTATTGGTCGGATGAAATACGCTAATTTATTGAGATAGGAGTTTTGGTTTTTCATGAGCTGTATGCCCAAATCATCAATATTAGAAACAATAAAAGGCTTGAACTACTTCAGTTGTGTGTAATGAATCTAATATATATGAAAATCTAATGTTCATCAGTACCTTACAGACAATAATGAACTTTATCACAATATGCAATTTTTGAGAAGGACCTGTATGTGTTGAAATATTAGAATTTGGAGGCAGAGAAACAAAGGAGACTTCATAGATGCAGAAAACATCAATGTTTAATGGATCAGACAACTCCAGCCAAATTATCCAAAGTTTAAACACTGACTGTCAAAATTCAGGTCATTCTTATGACTGTTAATGTTTTGTGGCTCCAGACACACAATTTAAACATTCAGTCAAATAAATAAATAAACAAGAATATTTTCTTACCTCTAATACACTTTTCTCTAAGATGACGCCTAAATCAGGTGAATTACATCAGGGAACTCTGCAGAACAGTGTTCCCCGAGGACCAGCCTAGGGCTTAAACCCTTAAACTAAGTAGCTGAAGATCTCAAATTACCTAAGTAGGAAATATTTTTTTACAACATATAGCAACTAACCAGTGTAGATTTAAAAGATGAAGGCTCAACCTTTATGGTTCTTATCGTGTAATAACAGCCGCTGTTGTGTATGACTATAACGTTGGATGTTTACCAGCTGATCCCAGATCAGTGCCCTCTTGTTTAACAACCAGGATCACATGTCTTCCTCCTTTGCAAAATAAATATCTCTTCCTTTTAACAGACTCCCTTAATGTGAGGATGGCCTCCTAAAACTCCCATCAATCCTTTTGTGCAAATCTTTCCTCACATCTAGTTCTTAGAAGAATAAAGAGGCAAAGGGAACCCGTGATATGAAATACAAGGCTAAGATAAATCTAGCTGCAGTTTAAAGTGCCCAAACCTCAGAAATCCCTGACTGGAGCAAGGAATGCACAAAGGTCTAGCCATAGTTCATTAACTTAAGTTTCCTTCCCCCTCCCCATCATTCTTCTCCTACACAGTTGGCCTTTGTATTCAGTGTCAATAGTTCAGCAATTTTCCTCTCAGTATTTCTGTTTCTCTCTGGTATTTTTCTTCCTGTCCCTTTGATTGGACACCAACCCTTTCCTTCGACCTGTCCCATACAGCCAAGCCACTAGCCTGTCTCCCTGTATTTATACCTTTCTACATTACTCCTAATGGTATTTTCCCTCCTAGCCCTAGCCTTAAATTTAGATTTGGCACTTGGAAAGTTTTTGGCCCAAAACAAACAGATGAGCTTCACTCACAGGGTGGCACACAGCGCAGCCCAGCTATCGCGCTGATGATGATGGTGGGCACATGGGGAAATGGAACATGTTAATGAGTGATCAGTGTTACTTGAAGCCTAATATGTAGAATTCCTGTTTGTTATATGAGCGTTCATGTGCCAGGACTAATGGGAGTGTGCATGAACACCAGAGGCTTCTTTACTAGTAATAATTCAAATAAATAGTTCTGAGTTCACAAAAATAAAGAAGTGTTTCGGGCAAGCTAAGACTCAAATACATATGCAGATGACTAATTCCTGATTTATTGCATTTGCTTCATGTGTTTATTTTTATGTTGTGCTAAAGTCCCTCTGATGTACTGGTTTATATATTCATATTGTTTTATTTGACATTCATGGAAGACCAACATCTAGACGTCCAACAGATGCAACAGAACACAAACGTGAAAGAATGTCTGCACAGATCCATATCTGCTATTGTTCGCTCCGCGTCGTCACAGCTGGGCTTTATTACAACTGACAAGTGAAATACACGGCCCCCTTTAAGGCTTTGAAATGTGAAAGTGGGATTGTGTGTGTGTGTGTGTGTGTGTGTGTGTTTCACATGAGTGCACATACGGTTCAACTTAAGGAAAGAAATGACAAAAGGGTTTATTGCATTAAGGATAAAGGTCAGAGGGAATTAAAAAGTGATATCGAGAAGACAATCCGAATGAGAAAGATAAGACAGTCCAGCAAAGCGCGAGTGTCGTGGAATAATCCGAGTTGTTAGTCGAGGGGATTCTCTACAATCTGAATATATATTAGATTTGCAGAAGGCTCATCAGTGCTAAGAGGTCGGTGTGTGACGAGAATACGGAAACACGTCTTTGAGTGATCAGAAGGAAGAGATCTTGTATAACTGATCAGCAAGCACACACGTCTAAACACAGAACACACACCTTAACATGCCACACACACACACACAGTCCCTTTGCTCTCTAACAAATATCCCAGCTTCCAGCTGCACACCCTCCATCAGCCCTCAGAGTTTACAAGGATTAGGTATGTCAGTGCCCCAGCCCCACCCGTCCACACACACACACACACACACACACACACACACACACACACACACACACACACACACACACACACACACACACACACACACACACACACACACACACACACACACACACACACACACACACACACACACACACACACACAGATGCCAGAGCTGTTAAAAGCTGGATTAAGTGTTTCCCTGGGAAGGAGCGCGCTGCGTCCTGGCTGGGCTGTCAAGGTGCTGTCAGATAGTCCTCCTCCCCTCGCCTCCTTTGCCCTCCACTCGCAGTCACAGCTATGCTAACACACTGAGTGTGATCCACATGTGCAGAGCTGCTGAAGATGCAACTGCAGCTGAACTTCACCGAGGGGGTTTTAGACGCTACGATGTGGTTGTCTAAGAGAGGGTTTAGGTTTTGTTTCACCTTCATTTGGGTCATGTTTTTATTTACTGAGCTGTTTAATAATGTAATCACGTCACTTCCAGCAGCTTGGTGTCGTTTGCCGTAAGTCTCTTTAAACAGCTGCATCGCGAGTGGCACATGGGGACTGGTGTCAGTTTTACACTTATAACTCACACAGAAACAGACTGACAGCAAATGAAGTGCTTGGCGATAGACTCGCAGAGAAAGATAGGAGAAGAAAACAGGGAGGGAGGAACTCGAAGCTGCCTCCAAGCAGCCCAGACTCAGTAAATCATTACCACCATAAACCAGCGAGCCAATAAAAAGCACCGCCTCACCCCACTGTCAGAGCCGAGGAGAGAGGGGGTGAGGAGTTAGAGGGGGTACAGAAACAGATTCTCCCCATCTGGATTCATTACAGGAGAAAAAATAACTTCCCGCGGAAATGCACACAAGTCTGCGTACGCACACTCAGATGCTTTCTGCGGCCGTATAATCATAATCAAGAGAGGCTAGAATATTTCAAAGACAAACATGTTTTTTCCTGTGGTCTAATAAAATTATAAGTCGATGCCTCAGACGCTGAGCTGGCCCCGAAGCTGCCTGGCAATTAGAGAGCAGTAAAACAGGGAAATGAGAAAGGGAGCGAGGAGCGAACTGAAGAAGGAGAGCAGGGCTTGATGGAAGGAGAGATGTGCTGAATTAGTGCGCTGGGACCATGTGAACTGCCCGAGGCAAGGCCATGCATGGGCGATGGACTGGCAACGAAAACTGGCAAAAGGAGAAAACAACAAACCAAAAGAAAAGGGGAGCAGACAATAAAAGGTTTAAAGAGGGAAATCATTCCTTCAACGACGTGGTCCAAGAGAAGGAACTGAAATTAACGTCAAAGTAGGAAACATCGTAGGACAGAAGTTTCTCAAAAGTCGTCTAAAAATGTTAATAATAGTTTCATTTGGGGCAAAAAGTGGCTGGATTTTTATTTTGGTATGTTGTTTTTCATAAGTTACGTATACTGTCCTGTTCCGCTCTCAGCCCCGATCCACACACTGGAATGTGGCCCCAAAAGGCGGGAATGTTGGACAACAATGTCCAGAATTCAAAGCTGGGCTGAATTTCCACTGAAACTTTACTTTAACGCAACTTTCTCTCTCTCTCTCTCTCTCTCTCTCTCTCTCTCTCTCTCTCCTGTGTTTCCTGACCAGCTCCCTCTCAAGTAACGGTGATCCGCAAAGAGAAGACTTCCCGAAACAGTGTCTCCCTTTCCTGGCAGCAACCAGAAAGACCCAACGGGATAATTCTGGACTATGAGATAAAATACTACGAAAAGGTTGGTGTAGAATATAGAATTTCCCAGCTTTACTATGAGTACTTCAACAGCTTCATGTAGGACACATGTGAAGGAATCATCCGGATTCACCCTGAGATGTGAGGATACTACAACATTATTAAAACTCTTGTTTTTGTTAAGTTTTATCCTCAGATATGGCATCACGTTATTACATTATTTATAACCTTTCCACCACCATTCTTCCATACACACTCCCTCTCATCCCTCCTAATATCTCCTGTTTCCCTCACGCTGTTTCCTCTGCAGTTAGCTCCTTAATGGAGACAAGTTTTATGGCAGACAGTAAAGGCATCTGTGGGGTCCGTCCCTCATTCCTCTGTGAGAGAAATTAGTGCAGAACGAATTACGTCGGCTTTCAGCGCCAACGCTGTGCTAGGTTGACATTTGATGGCGTAATTAGCCGTGGATGCAAGTTTAATCACTCTGTCTGATTTGATGTCTATTCATGTGTGTGTGCGACCATGAGTGCCACGGATCATATTGCTTGAATGCCAACGGCGGCCTCTAATTTCTTGATTAGTAGGCTGACAGAAGCTGTTTTCTTTGTGAACTCTGATCTCTGCTTTAATGAGAGACACGGGGTCTGAGTTCACTGCAGGTCTGGATGTCCACACGGGCTCATCCCTGCATTTTAGATATTATATATATATATATAAGGATATTTATACATTTTATGTTTGATAAATACACGATGGAAAAAAAAAACCAATATCAGATATAGCCTGAGTCAGACTTTCTGATATTGACATTAAACGATACCAAAATCTGTGTCATAAGAAGTAAAGAAAAACTAAATCATTTTAGGTAACTAACATCACAATTCTTCTGTCATTCATTCGTAACCCTTATATGTCCTGAGGGCATTTTTTGGTGCTCAAACACCAGAAACGTTAGAAAATTAAAAGGTAATATAAGGATTAAACTTTAAAACTGTCTGTGCAAAAAACTTATACAACTACTTTAGTTTAAGCAGAAGAACACGAAATAATATTTTACATAGTACCTCTTTTTTATTACAATATATATTTTTTATTTTATGGATTTTTTTTCATCATTTATCTTCTTTGTTATTTATTTATTTTTTATTTTTTTTATTCTTGTGCAGCGCCCGTGATTTTTATCTTGAGAGGTACTTTATTAAAAAAATAGTTTCTTCTCTCAAGATAAAAATGTTGACAAAAAATAAATAATTTAAAAAACAATATTGTTTTAAAAATGGGAGAAAGGAACATATTTAAATAAAAACTGTGAAGGAAGACAGACCTGGTAGAAACAGCAGCCTGTAGAAAAGGTAGTGAGGAAGAGTCAACAGGAGCGTGTCATGACAGTTGTGGCAAACATGCAGAAACATCTCAAACCTTTGCCTCGGATCTGTTAAACTTAGACATTTTGTGTGGGAGGGGAAGTTGTTGGAGAGTTTGGTGTTTATTATTATGTGCATGGTATCTAAACGCTGCATTATTAAAAGAGTAAAAACAGATGAAGATAATTTCAGATGTTGCGTTTCAATGCTGATATCAGCCGATATTATCAGACATGCCTTCTTTCTAAGTCTTTCCTCTGATGCTCACACGGTAAGAATTACAGCTTTACCAAAACTGGTGGTTTTCCTGCGCAGAGGTCTTTGTTCTTGTGGCAGACGAACACACTACGAGCCCCGAGTCTTACTTAGTTTAACCCTTTAGGCCCTAGGCCTTTTTTCTTTGGGCCCTGGCGCCTCCCAGTTTGGAGTTTCATGTCCCAGGTGTCGGTGATAGTTTGCATTCCCCGAGCACGGCTACAATCAAAGCAGTTTAGATTGTAAACAAAGCAGTTTTTGGTTTGTGATACTTTAAGATAAACTAATACCTGAACTTTATTTTAGAAGAGCTGCCCTGTGTGAAAGTGCCCTAACCCTTTGTTCAAGAGTTTTTTTTCAGCAGACACCAGTGAAGGTCAGATGCTCTTCTAAAATAAAGTCCAAATGTCATGGTATCTTAATTTATTACAATTTAAAACGGCCGTGTTTCCCCTCTGGGCTGTTTGACTGAGGTTTTAGTCGTGTTTGGAGAACGTGGACAGTTGCAGATGTCTGGGACATGAAGCTGTAGAGGCCCCAAATGGGGGGGTGTTCGGATTAAACAGGTTAAAGTCATTTTTACATCTAGTTTTATTTGTGTTAGAGGCCGGCCGATAACCTAAATAATCTCTATCGGCCGAAATTATTTTTAAAAGATTTTAAAAAATCAGGCACCTGTGTGGCCAACTGCCACCACTTCTAGACTGAAGAAAGAACCTGAAGGACCCCAACACACTGTTTTATTTGATGTTTACAGTTTGTTTTATAATGGAAGTTCAATAAATATGAGAGCTTT